TAGATGCACAGGACCTCCATAAAATTGAAAAACTGGGAATCAAGAAATGGCTAAGAAAACACCTTTCGGCCCTTCGGAATGACTCTGTGATCAACTTGCTGAAGCTGACTATAGAATCACCTTTGAGGTCCTAAGGATTCCTAGAGAATATTTCAATCAAACCTGTGAATAAACACATCTGCAAATGTGGAGGGCCAACTGTATTTTTTATCACAGCTCCATCCTACAGATAGCCGTCGGTGGCGCAATGGGTTAAACACTTGTGCTGGCAGGACTGCTGACTGAATTTATTTATTTATTTACACGATTTCTACCCCACTCTTCTCAACCACCCGGAGGAGTGGGGAGACTCAGAGCAGCTTACACTGGCAACAATTCGATGCCGCAAATATAACAAATAACAGCAATCTAAAACAATAAATAACAATAGGTTTAAAACAATTAAACATTATTATCACAGTCAAAAGCTGGTGGTTGGAACCCAGGGAGCAGGGTGAGCTCCCATCTGTCAGTTCCACCTTCTCATGCAGAGACATGAGAGAAGCTTCCACAGGATGGTAAAACATCTGGGCATCCTCTGGGCAACATCTTTGCAGACAGCCAATTCCCTCACAACAGAACCAACTTGCAGTCTCTGAAGTTGCTCCTGACATGAAAAAAATTCCAACAGATTCTTGGGATTTGTACTTTGATGTGAATTCTTTGTAATGGACTCTGTTGGAGAACTTGGAAATCTCAAACCAAACCACAGATCCCAGGATTCCATGGGATGGGACCATGGCATTTAAAATGAAATGGGATCATATCTGCAGTGCAGTCATACCCTTCATTATGGGAGAAAGCGAATCAGACTGACAATGCATCTATATTTGAGAATTAATACACCAGTTTAACAGCCATGGCTCCATGATGTGGGATTTATTTATTTATTTATTGTGTCAGGGGCAACCAGACCATTGTATTACATTTCTAACAGAACAAAACAAACAAACAGACAAACACAAAGTTTGCAAGCTTGGTAGTTGATTAAATGTCCTTTGACCAGTATCTGGCCACTTGGAGTGCCTCTGGTGTTGCCTCAAGAAGGTCCTCCATTGTGCATGTAGCAGGGCTCAGGTTGCATTGCAGCAGGTGGTCTGTAGTTTGCTCTTCTCTACACTCGCATGTTGTGGATTCCACTTTAGCCCCATTTCTTAAGGTTGGCTCTGCATCTCGTGGTGCCAGAGCGCAGTCTGTTCAGTGCCTTCCAAGTCGCCCAGTCTTCTGTGTGCCCTGGGGGAGTCTCTCATTTGGTATCAGCCATTGGTTGAGGTTCTGGGTTTGAGCCTGCCACTTTTGGACTCTCGCTTGCTGAGGTGTTCCAGCGAGTGTAGATCTTAGAAAACTATTTCTTGATTTAAGTCGTTGACGTGCTGGCTGATACCCAAACAAGGGATGAGCTGGAGATGCCACTGCCTTGGTCCTTTCACTATTTCACTATTCACTATTATCACAGGGTGTCTGCACCCTACACCACTGGAGAAATTGCACTGTTTAGCCGGTATTGCACCACCTGACATCCGCCGGGAAGTAGCAGCCAATAGTGAAAGGACCAAGGCAGTGACATTTCCAGCTCATCATGATGTGAGATGATGGCCAAAGACATTGTAAAACTACAACTCCCATGATCCCACAGCACTGAGCCAGGACAGTTAAAGTGGTGTCAACCGGCATTTATTTAATAGTGAAGATGCACTTTCAGTTTTTCTATCAGGTGAAAAGCCGTTAAGCAAGTCATCTGCCTTTTATCCTCAACAGCCAGTTTCCTTCTCTTGTTCTCCATCTGCACTTAGAGATATGAATGGAAGTGTACTTTGGAAACACTGATTCCTGGTGCATTGCTTGATGTTTGCATTGAAAAGCTACTGCAGACCAGGATATAAGTGCTCTTATTTGTCCTACTGCAGAATTTCGAGAGTCATTCCATGCCAAAGCAGCTGGCATCCAGGCCACACTGCAGTAAAGCACAAGGCACATGGTTCTCCACCGTGGAGCCAATGCTATTTACTTCTGGATATGGGAGAAGGCAGAGAACAAAAACACAGCGGGTCTTCTCTGCTTTCATCAGAGGCTGTAAACTATATTCCACAAAAAGCGCCTGTGAAAAATAAGTTGGTTTGGCCTAAATTCCCAATTACTAGTCCCGAAGTCTTGATTTCCTATTCAGCAATTGATTCAGTGGACCTAACACCCAGTTTTAGGCTTTCAAGTCTACACAGGGCTCTTTGTTTTTACTGCAACGATTTTACATGGCTTGTCTATTTGAGAATTCTCTTAACCAAGATGTGGGGATTGTACAACCGGAATGGGAAGAGGAACAGTGGATGTTTTTGTCTTCACCAGAGACTGTTTGCCCTGAACAAGTCATATAATACTAGTGATTGACACTAAGTTGAAAAAGAACCACAATGTTGGGAGATGTTCAGCATCCCTCCCAACAAATCTCTGTGCAGCTTTCATTGATCTTTCTTCTGCTTTTACTTCTCTGAACAGAAATACAAAGTGAGAGAATTTCCCAAGGAGAAATGATAGGAAGTTGAGAATGATACAGTGATACACAAATAATATCTATACTGACAAATAGCTAAGATCTGTTTATCTGACTATGGGGAAAAATAGGCTTGCTGTACAAATTGTTGAGCGCATGCTGGCAAGGCAGTATTTACCATCCTAGGTTTCACATCTTTAAAATGGGCATAATTCATTGCTTGAACTAACTATACTGGTGTGACACTCTTCAGCTCCAGTGCAGGCAGATAAGCCTTGCCTAACCCTCAGATATAGGTCCCTTCCACACAGCTGAAAAAAATCCCACATTATCTGCTTTGAACTGGGATATTTGGCAGTGTGGACTCAGATAACCCAGTTCAAAGCAGATATTGTGGGATTTTTCTGCCTTGATATTCTGGTTTATATGTCTGTGTGGAAGAGCCCACATACTACAGGTAGAGTAACATTGTAAAATTAATGCATACTGATATTCCGTATTTTCCGGCATATAAGACGACTGGGCATATAAAACGATCCCCAACTTTTCCAGTTAAAATACAGTGTTTGGGATATACTCACCATATGAGACTACCCCTCTTCCAACGCACACCAAATATTTTTTTAAAATCAGATTTGATTTCAATATGTTTTTTTTTTGTCGTGTCAGGAGCGACTTGAGAAACTGCAAGTTGCTTCTGGTGTGAGAGAATTGGTTGTCTGCAAGGACGTTGCCTAGGGAACGCCCGGATGATTTGATATTTTTTATCGTCCTTGTGGGTGGCTTCTCTCATGTCCCCGTATGAGGAGCTGGAGCTGATAGAGGGAGCTCATCCGCCTCTCCCTGGATTCGAACCTGCGACCTGTCGGTCTTCAGTCCTGCCAGCACAGGAGTTTAACCCACTGCGCCACCGGGGGCTCCCGGTAATTTTACTATTACCATACCTCCTTCTCTGCCTCTCAGATCTTGCACATGCGTGCCTGTGCCGTTTCACTGCAGTCCTCAGGAGTGAGATCTGAGAGGCAGAGAAGGAGGTATGGTAATAGGATACAAGGATGGGCCAGATGGGTGAAAAAGGTGTATTTTTCTGGCCGCTCTATCTCTTTTTTCCATACCACAGTTGTCCTAGATGCTTGCAGCTTGCTCTGCCCTTCACTTACACCTTCCTGGTGAGGTGCCCCCTCACCTTGTCATCGGGACCATATTAAATCACTTCTTTCCATGAATCCCAGTGAGTGGATTTTCTTCTACCATACTTGTACAGTGCCCCCCTTGTTGCTTTCATATGGTTGTGGCCATTTTTGAGCCCCCCCCCCCAAGGCGGAGATAGCAGATTCTTCAGTCCAGCTTAGAAGTTTCAGCACTCACCCAGCGTATAAGATGACCCCCGACTTTTGAGAAGATTTTACTGGGTTAGTGCAATATAATACTACTACTAATAATATGATATTATAATTATATATTTATATTACATGTAATACTACTAATATTACAGTATAGTAATATTTAATACTGATACTGTACTATGCTAATAATTTATTTATTTTATTTCCTATATTTATACCCTGCTCTTCTCCCCCCGAAGTGGGACTCATATAATATGATATAATATAATATAATATAATATAATATAATATAATATAATAATATAATATATTGTATGTATATATATCTTGTAAGCCGCTCTGAGTCCCCTTTGGGGTGAGAAGGGCGGCATATAAATGTCGTAAATAAATAAATATTTCAGAGAATGGAACTGGCAAAACTGCCTTTGAGATTGTGGGATATACGGCAGTTAATAATAGAGTCAGGATGTCAAACACTTTGGCGGGGCCAATGAGGCTCCTGTACTTACCTGGTTGCAAGTCCCATCGAGTTTAATGAGTTTTATATGCGAGTCAACACAAACTGACTTCTTGTTCAACTTAGTGGCCAAGATGTAAAACAAGGTGTAGAACAAATATGTGGTGCATCTTGGGAGCTAAGCAGGGTCAGCCCTGGTTACTATATGGATGGGAAACCATCAAGTGATCATCCTTCCCAAATATGTTCAGATAATATATATATTATTTCAGACAATGGAACCGGCGAAACTACCTTTGAGTATTCCTTGCCTAAAGTTGTGTCTACACTGTAGAATTAATGCAGTTTGATGACACTTTAGTTCAATGCTATGGGTTCAGGGGAACTGTAGTTCTACATGGTGCCTCCTGAAACTACCCCAGGACTCCATAGCATTGAGCCATGGCTGCTGAAGTCTGCAATACCCTGCCTCATGTACAGAGTAAGAGTTGTTGGAGGCTACAGACAATGCGGTTGCTGTTGCCCGTTTTTGGTCGAAGGATATTTATTAGCCACTTGTGCTCCTTCTATTTTCTTAAAATCAGTTTTGTACGCATTTATGCAATACTTTTGATACGAAATTAAAAAAAAAGTTGAAGTGGTGTCAAACTATGGAATTCAGAGGGAAAAGTTACAACCAATTGATACTTTTTATTGGGGGGATTAGTTACAATGTTAGGAAGGGGGAAAAGCAAAGAAATAAGGCGGCTTCTGAGTTGCAGCTGCTGTTGTGGCCACCCTCATGCAGTTGGCCCAAGCGGGGCAATGAAGAACTGAGGAACTCCCTGCTGCAGGTCAGATCAGCTTGAAGGCAGGGAGTTCTGCGTTCGGCCTCAGTATCAAACTATGGAGTTCAAGCAAAGAAATAAGGCGGCTCCTGAGTTGCAGCTGCTGTTGTGGCCACCCTCATGCAGTTGGCCCAAGCGGGGCCATGAAGAACTGAGGAACTCCCTGCTGCAGGTCAGATCAGCTTGAAGGCAGGGAGTTCTGCGTTGGTCTCAGTGTCAAACTATGGAGTTCAAGCAAAGAAATAAGGCGGCTTCTGAGTTGCAGCTGCTGTTGTGGCCACCCTCATGCAATGAAGAACTGAGGAACTCCCTGCTGCAGGTCAGATCAGTTCTGTGTTCGGCCTCAGTGTCAAGCTATGGAGTTCAAGAGGCCACCATAAATTGACAGGCCTACATACCTATGTATACACACAAAGCAGGGTGGAAAACAAAAGTCACCTGACTCTGTGATGAGCTCCTCTCCACTGCAAAGGTGCCCCACAGCTATGCAAATCCTCCTTTGCTGACGTCACAATCGCCACTCGCTTTGCCTTCCACGCGCGCTTCCTCATTCACTGCTGTGAGAACCACCCCGCCCGCTTCCATTCATCTTCCCTCGCGAGCTTAGGCAACCAGGAAGCCACGCCCCGGCCTTCCTCTGATTGGCCCGCGAAGCCGACGCGGCGGCTTTGCGAACGAGCTGGGGAGCGGGAATGGGCGGGGCCAAGGCGCGGGAATGGGCGGGGCCAATGGGCGGGGAGCCCGGATGTGAGCAGGGCGGCAGCAGAGCTGAGTGGAGGTACTGCTGGTAGGAAGGAAGGAGCCAGGCTGGGAGAGGGCAAAGGAGGGGTGCCTCTGGGAAGGGGGCTTGGGGGCAGGAGCACCTGGGTTGCCTCTCTTCTGAGTCCTTGGGGTGCTTATATACCATTGGAGGTAATCATTTGGGGTGGGGGAGTGGGTGCATCCACACTGTAGAATAGATGCGGTTTGACTCCACCTCCACTCCCATGGCTCAATTCTATGGAATCATGGGAGCTGCAGGTTTTTCCCCCACAACATCCACCCCCCTTTCCCTGCCTCACCAAAACTACAACTCCCATTATTCCATAGCATTGAGCCATTGCAGTGAAAGTGGGGCCAAACTGCATCCATTCTACAGTGTAGATGCACCCATTGCTGCAGAGACAGTTCCTTAGAATCATAGAATCATAGAGTTGGAAGAGACCTCATGGGCCATCCAGTCCAACCCCCTGCCAAGAAGCCGGAATATTGCATTCAAAGCACCCCTGACAGATGGCCATCCAGCCTCTGTTTAAAAGCTTCCAAAGAAGGAGCCTCCACCACACTCCTGGGCAGAGAGTTCCACTGCTGAACGGCTCTCCTTCCCCTTGCCTGTAAATATTGGGCCATGCTCAGTGCACTCTGTACATTCTCAGAGGCACGTATTTCCTCCTCAACCCAACCCGCATTCCGTGCTTCATCACTAGCATTAAGAAACATTGAGCTGTGACCAAGGGTGTATCTACACAGTAGAATTAATACAGGGTTGTTGTAGTTTTTTTCGGGCTATATGGCCATGTTCTAGAGGCATTCTCTCCTGGCAAGGACCCATAGATGCAGGCAAAACGTCAGGAGAGAATGCCTCTAGAACATGGCCATATAGCCCGAAAAAACCTACAACAACCCAGTGATTCTGGCCATGAAAGCCTTCGACAATAGAATTAATACAGTTTGAAAGGATCAGTGCTATGGAAGGAGGAGGGTGCCCAGAGGAGGGCGACTAAAATGATAATGATCAAGGGTCTGGAGAACAAGCCCTATGAGGAGCGGCTTAAGGAGCTGGGCATGTTTAGCCTGAAGAAGAGAAGGCTGGGAGGAGATATAGCCATGTATAAATATGTGAGAGGAAGCCACAGAGAGGAGGGAGCAAGCTTGTTTTCTGCTTCCTTGGAGACTAGGATGCGGAACAGTGACTTCAAACTACAAGAGAGCAGATTCCATCTGAACATAAGGAAGAACTTCCTGACTGTGAGAGCCGTTCAGCAGTGGAACTCTCTGCCCCGGAGTGTGGTGGAGGCTCCTTCTTTGGAAGCTTTTAAACAGAGGCTGGATGGCCATCTGTCAGGGCTGCTTTGTATACAATATGCCTGCTTCTTGGCAGTGGGTTGGACTGGATGGCCCATGAGGTCTCTTCCAACTCTTTGATTCTGTGATTCTACGAATCCTAGTTTTACAAGGTCTTCTCTGCCTCGGGCCCTTCTATACTGCCATATAAAATCCAGATTATCTGCTTTGAAGTGGATTATATGGCAACACCATATAATCGTCTGGGGAGGCCATGCTCTCGGTCCTGCCTGCATCACAAGTACGGTTGGCGGGGACGAGAGACAGGGCCTTTTCTGTGGTGCCCCCTTGGCTGTGGAACGCCCTTCTCACAGAAATTAGATCGGCCCCCTCCCTGTTCACATTTTGGAGGAAAGTGAAGACCTGGTTGTTTGAGCAGGCATTTGAATAGGCAGTGTAACTAATATAGAAATATGGAACATTTGGATGATGAGACTGTATCTTGATTTTAACTATGAGATGAGATGAGATGTTACAATGTTTATTGATTGTTATAATGTTATACTTTTAAATTGTTTTTAACCTTTTTATCATGTTTAAGTATTGTATTTGCTTTGTTACCCGCTCTGAGTCGCCCTGAGGGCTGAGAAGAGTGGTATATACAAATATAGTAAATAAATAAATAAACATAGACTCAAAGCAGATAATGTGGATTATTTGATTTGATAATCAAGATTATATGGTTGTGTGGAAGGAGCCACAGAGAGCTGGTGCCTCACCAAACTACACAATTGAGTCAAGGCAGTTATAGTGGTGTCAAACTGCTTTAATTCGACTGTGTAGAGATACACCCTGAAGCTCCCATGTCTGCATTAATTGGTCTAGAAGAGAAGATGTGTATAATGCGGATCCTCATTTTAGTTCTTACCTCTCTTTTTTCCAAAGGTGACTTTTGCATTTGAATTTCACAGTACTTCTGCAGTGGAGACTGAGATCGAGAGTGTGATGTGCTCAGGTCTGTACAATGGGCTTCATCAAGATCATTATAGAAACATAGTTTTGCTACATACTTGTTTTATGCGTAATTGACTTGGACCTTCGTATTTCTATAGGTCAGCCATCCCACAGGTATATTTGGTTACAACTCCCATCATCCTCTGGTAACATGATCATGCTGGATGGAAACACTGGAAAGTTGGGGTGCATCCACACTAGTGGTTCTCAGCCTGTGGGTCCCCAAGTGTTTTGGCCTACAACTCCTAGAAATCCCAGCTGTTGGGATTTCTGTAAGTTGAAGGCCAGAACATCTGTAGACCGACAGGCTGAGAACCACTGATCTATTTATGTATTTATTTACGACATTTATGTGCAGCCCTTCCCACCCCAAAGGGGACTCAGAGCGGCTTACAAGTTATATGTACATTGATTTATTTACAGTATTTATATTCTGCCTTTCTCACCCTGCAGGGGACTCAGGGCAGATTACAATGCACATATACATGGCAAACATTCAATGCCATGTAGACATACAACATATATAGACAGACATAGAGGCAATTTAACATTCCAGCTTTCCAGCTTCATGAGGGTATGTTTGATTCCGGCCACAGGGGGAGCTGCTATTTCACTGTCCACTTGTGACACCGAGTCCTTGATGGAGTACGTCTTCATTCTTGCATACGCGGCTGGAAGGTTTTATGGTGTCATAAATTAATTAAATTAGCCTCCACACATAAAGCGGTACCTACATTTCCTACTTGACAGATGCAACTGTCTTTCAGACTGCATAGGTCAACAGCAAGCTATTAATGGTCGGGAGCTCACTCTGACCCAGGCTAGCTTCGAACTCATGACTTCTCAGTCAGTAGTGATTTAGTGCAGCTGGCTACTAACTAGCTGCGCCACAGCCCGGTCTAGATAATAACATAATATACATAAGATATACATAAAATGTATTATATTATTAGCATATAATAATATAATTATTAGTATATCATAATATTAATATTATATATGGAGCCCCCGGTGGCGCAGTGGGTTAAACCCCTGTGCCGGCAGGACTGAAGACCGACAGGTCGCAGGTTCAAATCCGGGGAGAGGCAGATGAGCTCCCTCTATCAGTTCCAGTTCCTCATGCGGGGACATGAGAGAAGCCTCCCACAAGGATGATAAAAACATCAAATCATCCAGGCGTCTCCTGGGCAACATCCTTGCAGACGGCCAATTATCTCACACCAGAAGCGACTTGCAGTTTCTCAAGTCGCTCCTCACATGACAAAAAAGTATTATATATTACTATATTGTACTTTTAATATGAAATATAAAATCATTATATTGTATTATTCGTATTATATTGTATTACATTATAATGTTATAAATATAATATTGTATTACATTATAATATTATCAGTACTATATGTGTATACAATATATATCTACACTGAGGAGTTAATGCAATTTGATCCCACTTCACCTGCCATGGATCAATGCTATGGAATCCGAAGAATGCATGCCAAAGAGTATTTGTGCTTCACCAGACTAAAATTTCCATTATTCCATAACATTGTGCCATGTTGCTTACAGTGAGGTCAAACTGCATTAATTCCACAGCGTCGATGCACCCCTGTAGTTGTCCATCATAAATATTGGTCACAAAGTTGGGAAAGGCTATTCTGTGCTGTGTAGGAGTTGGACAAAGGAGGATTGCAGAGAAGGCTCTTGAGTTGAAAAACAAGGAAGTGAAAGCAAAATGGGAAGACATCTAGACAGAGTTCTGAGAAGAGGGAACAAAGATCTGAGCAGGTCTCTGTATGTGTGTGTGAAGCACATAAGGGACAGACAACACTTCAGGTTATAGTTCTGGATCAGTGGTTCTCAACCTGTGGGTCCCCAGGTGTTTTGGCCTACAACTCCTAGAAATCCCAGCCACTTTACTAGCTGTTAGAATTTCTGGGAGTTGAAATCCAAAGCATCTGGGGACCCATAGGTTGAGAACCACTGGAAGAGGCCTGAGAAAGTTAAGACGTTACCAGTGTAGGCTGGCAGGGTGAGAAGATGTCCTGAACCAACACTGGAGTAGACAAAATATTTTCATAATCGTATTTTGGTTTAGCAGTAGTTGTCTAACATCAGCAGTCTACAACCTGTTGGTCTATTCATGTCTTTCAATTGAATTTCAGTCTAAACTACCTACTAGAAGAGTGTATTTTAAGCATTTTTTTCGGTTCACCAAACCAGAGATTTTCAGAACGATTAATAGTAATGTATTTTTTAATGAAGTAAAACACTATACTGGAGCCCGTGGTGGCACAGTGGGTTAAAGCGCTGAGCTGCTGAGCTTGCTGACCGAAAGGTCGCAGGTTCGATTCCGGGGAGCGGCATGAGCTTCCGCTGTCAGCCCTAGCTTCTGCCAATCTAGCAGTTCGAAAACATGCAAATGTGAGTAGATCAATAGGTACCGCTTCAGGGGGAAGGTAACGGCGCTCCATGCAGTCATGCCGGCCACATGACCTTGGAGGTGTCTATGGACAACACCGGCTCTTCGGCTTAGAAATGGAGATGAGCACCACACCCAGAGTCGGACACGACTGGACTTAATGTCAGGGGAAAACCTTTACCTTTACCTTTAAAACACTATACTAGGGAGCAATTGAATAAACCAGTAGTAGCTTTCTCTAACATGCCCTCTCGAGGTGTTGGTCTGCTGCCTCTTTTGCCTGTATCCGTGGCCACATTGATCCTGTCTAGACTGCCATATAATCCAATTTCCGAATCCAGATTATTTGCTTTGAACTGGATTATTTAATTCAGAAACTGGATTATATGCCCATGTAGATGGGATCATTGATAAGGGAGGATGGGAGCGATAGTCCTAGATCTTTCAAAGGTGAAATCAAAATGGAAGTTAATACAATGAGATTTAGGCAAGGAGTGAGTCTGGTATCCATTGTACCCATAGGTAAGAAACACAGTACACATAGATAAGAAATTGAGTTATAAAATGGACAACTAATGTTTAGGATTTGATTTGATAAAGCAACATTAACATTGTTACTGTGAGTTTTCTGGGCTGTATGGCCATGTTCCAGAAGCATTCTCTCCTGACGTTTCACCCACATCTATGGCAGGCATCCTCAGAGGTTGTGAGGTTTGTTGGAAACTAGGCAAGTGTGGTTTATATATCTGTGGAATGTCCAGGGCGAGAGAAAGAACCGTTGTCTGTTTGAGGCAAATGTGAATGGTCACCTTGATTAGCATTGAATAGCCTTGCAGCTTCAGAGCTTGGGTGCTTCCTGTTTGGGGGAATCCTTTGTTGGGAGGTGATCACAGCCACCCAGTGATTCCAGCCATTAAAGCCTTCAACAAAACATTAACATTGCTTGGTGAAGAGGTAACTACTATCGAGTGGACCATTTGAGTTGAGAAAATGTCGTTACACTGAGACTGATTATTTCTCTATTCTCACTGCTTCACTTTTCTACTTCAATCTGTGACTGTCGTGGAAGTTTTATATGCAAATACATAAATTATGTATGTCCAAATTTAATATTGCTGCAATATATTAAATAAAATCTGTTGCATTAAAAGCTTCTCTTCAGAAACATTGTTACGGACTTACTTTAAAACTTGGATTTCTCCCATGGGTAGATCCTTATAGCCATCATGGATGATCTAAACCTACACTACAGATTTCTGAATTGGCGGAGGAGAATCCGGGAGATCCGAGAGGTGCGAGCTGTACGTTACCAAGAGAGGTTCAAACATATCCTTGTTGATGGCAACAGACTAAGGTAACTCTTTTTAATGAAATTCTCAAACACAGGAGAGTCAAAAGTTTAAAATTAAGTAATGAAATGTGGTATTTGTTTATACAAGATATTCCCCATCCTAGGAGTACTGTGACAACTCATTCTCTGTTAGGACCCTTCCAGACAGGCCCTATATTCCAGGATCTCATCCTGGGTTTTCTGTTTATCCCAGATTATCTGGCAGTGTGAACTCATATCATCCAGTTTAAAACAGAAAACTAGGAATCAGATCCTGGTATACAAGGCCTGTCTGGAAGGGCCCTTAATCTATTGAAGTGGTTCCCAACTTTTGATTCTCCAGGTGTCTTGGACTTTAACTCCCAGAAATCCCAGCCAGTTTACCAGCTTTTAGGAGCTGAAGTGAAAACATTTGGAGAACCAAAGGTTGGAGACCACTGGCTCTGACATTATCATATAACTTTTGGGACTTTTTTCTGCTCCTTGAAGACAGACAGCTTCATCATTATTTTTTAAAGTGGAATACAAGGGAAGCTCTGTGGAATCAACCAGAAATTTCGTATGACATCCCACAGGATTTAAAGAAAGAATCTACAGTCTTTAAAAAAAGATTCTAAATCAGTGGTTCTCAAATTGTGGGTCCCCAGATGTGAACATCTGGTAATCTGGCTGGGATATCTGGGAGTTGTAGGCCAAAACACCGGGGCACCAAAACAACTAGTTGAGAACCACTGGTCTAGATCAGGGGTCCCCAAACTTTTTGAACAGAGGGCCGGGTCACAGTCCCGCAAACTGTTGGAGGGCCGGATTATAATTTGAAAAAAAAAAACATGAATGAATTCCTATGCACTCTGCACATATATTATTTGCAGTGCAAAAAAACCCCCCAAAAAATCAAAAAACAAAAACCCACACTTCTATCTAAATAAAAATGTAATGTTCGTTTGTGGGATTAACAGAACTCAAAAAACACTGGACGAATTAACACCAATTTTGGACACAAGACACCTAACAACCCAATGTATGTCCTTCACTCAAAAATTGATTTTGTCATTTGGGAGTTGTAGTTGCTGGGATTTAAAGTTCATCTACAATCAAAGACCATTCTGAACCTCACCAATGATGGAATTGAACCAAACTTGGCACACATTTCTCCCATGACCAACTGAAAATACTGGAAGGGTTTGGTGGGCAGTGTCCTTTCATTTTGGAGTTGTAGTTCACCTACATTCAGAGATCATTGTGGACTCAAACAATGATGGATCAGGATCAAACTTGGCACAAATACTCAATATGCCCAAATTTGAACACTGGTGGAGTTTGGGGAAAATAGAATCTTGACATTTGGGAGTTGTAGTTGCTGGGATTTGTAGTTCACCTACAATCAAAGAGCATTCTGAACCCCATCAACAATGGAATTGAACCAAATTTGGCACACAGTTCTCCCATGACCAACAGAAAATACTAGAAGGGTTTGGTGGGCAGTGTCCTTTGGTTTTGGAGTTGTAGTTCACCTGCCTCCATAAATCACTGTGGACTTAGTGATAGATCTGGACCAAACTTGGCACTGATACTCAATATGTCCAAATGTGAACACTGGTGGTGTTTGGGGATTGTTTTTGCTAGGATTTATAGTTCACCTGCAATCAAAGGGTTCAAAACAGCGGCGCTCCAGGGGCTTGTTCTCCCGGCGCGGCTGGGAGTGGCCGCGGAGAGCAGAGCGGCCAGAGCAGAGGTTGTCCGCGATTTGCGGAATGGCGCCGGGTGGGCGTGGCCAGGGAACGCCGGCTTCCCTGGCCATGGCCACCTGGCGCTGCTCTGCAAATGCTCCGGAAATCCTCTGCTCCGGCCGCTCTGCCTGAGTGGGAGGGAGCAGCCTCCCAGATGGGCAGAGCAGAGTGGCCGGAGCAGAGGTTGTCCACCATTGGCGGAGCGGCGCCGGGTGGGCATGGCCAGGGAACGCCGGCGTTCCCTGGCCACGCCAACCCGGCGCCGCTCCGTCCATTGCAGACAACCTCTGCTCCAGCCGCTCTGCTCTGCAGAGCACCCATCTGGGAGGCTGCTCCCTCCCACTCAGGCAGAGCGGCCGGAGCAGAGGATTTCCGCCATTGGTGGAGCGGCGCCGGGTGGGCGTGGCCAGGCCAGGCCGCGCGGGCCGGAGAAATGGCCTCGGCGGGCCGCATACGGCCCGCGGGCCGTAGTTTGGGGACCTCTGGTCTAGATAGTCCAATTTAAATCATAATTTGTATTTCACCTGTCACCATCACTCTTTGGGCTAGAAAATGGGACCAAAGGTAACTTCTTTGGAATTTTTTGGGTTATTAGTGAGTTTTGGGAGTAGGTGATGTTATCAAAAAGGAAATGTAATAAATTGTAATACATGTCATACACTCTTTAAGATATAAAACATAGAATTTGTTCAGTTGAATGCCTCTTTTTAAATTAAAAAATACCTTTAATATGCAAGTGTGTACCCACTTGTACCTTGGGGCCTGTGCATATCTATAGCAGTGGACTTCTTATTTCTAATAACACAATGTAAGACAATTTTTGTTTCTGGGTTATACATACAATTTCCTAATTGGTTCTATCATAGAAACACGGAAAACTTTTATTAAACTGCATAATCTTTGTTTTTGCGGGACATCCTGCAGCACATTTTGCTATAGTTTTCAGTGAATATTTCATGGAATCTCAACCAATTCAACGTAGTTTGTGGCAGCCACAAAAATAATGTTTCTGGAGTAGAACAACTACTTTCCAAGTCAGTACTGAACCATGAAACAGGAAATGACATTTTCAAACCAGGAACAGATTTTCTTTTCAAATGTTGTTATAGTTTAATCCCAGCTTTATCATGGAGCCTGAGTGCTTGTGAAGATATCAAAATGTAGAACCATATACTGTTGCTTTCTTAAGGATTTTTCCCCAATACAATGCTTTAGGACAGGACTGCACAACATGGGTCCCCCCAGATAAGTGGTTCTCAACCTGTGGGTCCCCAGATGTGTTGGCCTCCAACTCCCAGAAATCCTAATAGCTGGTAAACTGGCTGGGATTTCTGGGAGTTGTGAGCCAAACATCTGGGGACCCACAGGTTGAGAGCCACTATTCCAGATGTTTTCGACTTCAGCTCCAAGCATTCCTGGCCATTGGAACAGCTGGCTAAAGCTGCTGGGAGTTGGAGACCCAAAGGCCTGGAAGGGCACAGGTTGTGCAGGGCTGCTTTAGGGCATGTTTTATTTTTAAAAAAATCTTTAAGAAAGCACACATTATGTTGCTGTGGGTTGTTGTAGGTTTTTTCAAGCTATATGGCCATATTCTAGAGGCATTCTCTCCTGACGTTTCACCTGCATCTATGGCAAGCATCCTCAGAGGTAGTGAGGTAGAGAGAGAATATCTCTAGAACATGGCCATACAGCCCAAAAAAACCTACAACAACCCAGTGATTCCAGCCATGAAAGCCTTCGACAGTACATTATGTTACTGGTTTCCATGATTTGAGATGAAGGAGGTGACTGGCTCTTATTCAGTCCATCAACCTTTTTTTTGGCTATAATTTTCAAACTGACTGCAGCTTGGGCTGAATTGTAGTGGACCCGCCTGTTTGTTTTTAAACACAGACACAACCTGAAAATCAAACTGTTGTAAATAAGAACCCAGTGACAGGTTATTCTGACTGGAAGCTGCCTCTGACCAGAAATATGTCATGAAAAAAGGAAATGGCAGCAGGATCCATGGCAGAAAATGATTGCAGGTGTTTAGGGCTTGAGTAGTAGTATTTACTTGCTGGCCGCTTGTTCGTCTCCTATGGCCACAGACATCCATGCCTGTATTCTCACCTTCTTCTTTCTTTTGCATAAGAATGTCCATTCATGTGATTTGAGTTTTGTGGGAGACTTGACTCCTCTCTTTTCTTCAGTTATCAAGGAAACTCTGGGGAAGTTGGCTGCTACGTTGCTCCTCGTCCACTGTCGATAGACAACAATTATTTTGAGGTAACTACTTGCATCCAACGGTTTATCACAAAGTTTTGCTGTCCGAATTCTCACAGTATTACCATCTTCCCAGGTGGACAGAGTAATCTTTCTTGTGTTGGTCCATTTCGTTTCAGGTGTGCCAGAATGATGAAATTTGCAGCCTCAAGTATCCATAAGATTCCTGGTTGTTGAATCCCTCATTAAATAGTGCTAAATGTTTTGAACAGTGCAGTCGTTTTTAGGAGCCTTACCATAGGTTGGAATTATATGCATTGCAGCTGGGAAACTTCATGGTGGCCACGGGGTTATGTGTACACTAGGGACTTCCCTGAGACCCAGTTCTATCTAGTAATCACTGTGCTTAACTCGCTGATCTTGGTAAGACAAAAAGCATATCTTTTCCCCCCCATTAGATCAGGCTTGGGCACATTTTGGCCCTTGAGGTGTTTTGGACTTCAACTCCCACAATTCCAAACAGCCGGTAAACCGGCTGGGATTTTGGGACTTGAAGTCCAAAACACGTGGAGGGCTGAAGTTTGCCTGTTCCTGTATTAGATGATGCTATTTACCCTTAGTGTCTGTGTAATGTCAGCTTGTTTGTAAAATCTTGCGTAACACATACTTTTCTCTTTCTCAAATCATGGAAGGAATTCACCCTTTTTTCTGAATAGAGTTGCTGTTGAGTTGTGGTTCCCCCCCCCCCCCAATTTTTAGTATAATTTTTATTCAAGAAAGCAAAATTCCAAATATATTAACCAACAAAAACATATGCAAGAAAAACATATTAAAACAGTATCTGCATTGAGAAAATACATCATAGTATGAAGATTTTTAAATGTATTAATAATGTCAACAAGTCAACAAAGATAGAATCATTGTCTATACTGGATAACATAAAATAATTATAGATATAATAATGAAAAAGCACCTAATTTAGTTAAAAACTTTCCCCATCTAAAGTATACCAGGACTGTGGCGCAGCTGTCTGAGTGTCAGCTGCATTAATATCACTTCTGACCAAAAGGTCATGAGTTCGAAGCCAGCCCGGGTCGGAGTGAGCTTCCGACCAATTGTGTAGCTTGTTGTCGACCTTTGCAACCGAAAGACAGTTGCATCTGTCAAGTAGGAAAATTAGGTACCACCTATGTGTGGGGAGGCTAATTTAACTAATGTATGGGGCCATAAAAAAGACGCCAGCAAAAGCATGCAGGGAATGCAGAAGTACTTCATCAGTGTCTCAGATGGAAGATGAAAGTGACAGCTCCCCTGGCGGCCAGAAAATTAAATAGCCTCTGACTGTCTGTCTATATCTTCACTTCACTTCACTTTATTTCTTAATTAGTCGCTCTCCACCAAGTTGCTCCGAGCGACTTACAATTTAAAATAGCATTTCACAATATAAAAACATTCAACATAAAAACATTCAACAGTGACTATTTGGCAAATTAGATGTGATTACTTAAATGCACAACCAAACAGCCTGTTGTGTGTCTTTGGCATTGAATGTTTGCCATATATGTGTACATTGTAATCTGCCCTGAGTCCTCTGCAGGGTGAAAAGGGCGGAATATAAATACTACAAATAAATAAATATACTGCACTTATAGTTCTAATACAAATTTTCTTTTATTTATTCATTTATTTTTAAAATTAATTTTGTTTAAATAACTTTGAATTTTAAATGTCCAGTGCTTAAAAATTCTTATACATACTACTTTCCCCATAACACATTTGTAATACAGAAATATGTATGTCTTGACTCCTATAATATGTTGAGTTTTTAAAATCTCTGTCTGTTTGTTATTCAAATTTGTTTCAGGTATCCATTGTGGACAGCGGTGTGCGAGGGACCATTGCAGTGGGACTGGTGCCCCAGTACTATAGTCTGGACCATCTGCCCGGATGGCTACCCGATTCAGTTGCTTACCATGCAGATGATGGCAAGTGAGTGCATAGCTCCCATTGTGTAAAACCTAAGAGTAAGAATGGGACAGAGTCAGGAAGTGGTACATGCTATATTTCCTGTCATCTCTCACTATTAGCTGTGTTGGAATTCAAAGACATAGCCATGTTAGTCTGCATCAGTATCAAAGGGACCTTGTAGCACCTTTGGTACACATGTGGAGATGTTTGTATACTTGAAAACAAGAGGATAGGCTTCAGCTTTCTTCAGAGATTTGACATTCAACTGCTTTTGCTTTGCCTCATGACTTTGCATACTTGCTTAACAAGCTCCTGTGGCTGCCATCTCAGTTGGGGTGACAACGAGCACTTACAAGACCTTAAATGAGAGAACTTGCAAGAAAAGTATCTTTGGTCCTCTAGATGTGTTGGACTTCACTTCCCTGAAACCCCTTCCAGCTTACCAGTGACCAGAGATTGTGGGAGTTGAAGTCCAAAGCACCTGAAAGATCAAGGTTTGAGAACCCTTTCTCTAACCCAGTGGTTCCCAACCTTTTTTAAACCAGGGACCACTTGACCATGGATGGCTTTGACCAGGGACCACTCTCCAACATTAGTACCAAAAGGGATACGAATCAGTCTTTGGTCAACTTTAGATTCGGTTTGGTTATTTGGGGTGATGAGTCAGAAAATTGCATTGGATAGACCACATCAGCTCTAGTTTCTGATAACAGTAATATGCCAGTAATGGTGATGGCATAATAATAATAATAATAATAATAATAATAATAATAATAATAATATAACAATATACTGGTAATGATGATGGCATAATAATAACAGTCACTCTCGTTGTAATGGTGTAGTTATGGTGAGACCGTGGACTATATTTTAGTTCTTGCGGACCACTAATAATTCATGGACCACAGGTTGGGAACCACTGCTCTAACCTTTGCTGTATTTCTGGGTGTTGTGAGGAAAGGAGCCAATTATATTATCCTCTGAAATGAAAAGTCTCACCTTTGCTATGGCCTTATTACTATGGAAGCCACTTTGGGTGGCTTGCCTCTTCCGTTTTTCTGACGTCAGCACTTAACCATCACACTTGAGGATCCAGGGAAGATAACTTATGCCCCTATCCTGCCCCTTCTTATTATGAGAACTATACTTTGTGCCATTTATGGACTCTTATAGGATCAAAGGATTTTTCAACATCATGGTCTTGTTATAGTGCTAGTTTTGCGTCTCATACCAAGGCTGCATGATAAGACATTTTATATTCTTTTAAAACTTATTTTAAAGCTCTCCCTCTGCATTTGTCCATCCAGGCTTTACAACGGCCGAGCCAAGGGACGTCAGTTTGGGACAAAATGTAGCTCCGGGGACCAGATTGGTTGCGGCATTGAGCCAGTGTCTTTTGAAGTCCAGACAGCCCAGATTTTCTTCACCAAAAATGGGAAGAGGGTGAGCTCTGACACTTCCTTTAAAAAAATGTCTGAAGACATATCATGTAGCAATTATGTGTGTTTGGGTTTTGTTAGAGCAGACACGGGGAAGTATGTGGCCTTCTAGATTGCGTTGAAATGCAAATTCCATCAACCTTGGCCAACATAATAAGTGCAGAAAGAAGGTGAGAGCTGTAATTCAACTTGGAGGTGTTGTCAAAGGCTTTCATGGCTGGAATCACTGGGTTGCTGTAAGTTTTCCGGGCTGTGTGGCCATGTTCCAGAAGTACTCTCTCCTGATGTTTTGCCCACATCTATGACAAGCATCCTCAGGGGTTGCGAGGTCTGTTGGAAACCAGACAAGTGAGATTTATATATCTGTGGAATGTCTAGRGTGGGAGAAATAATAATAACAAYAACAACAACTTTATTTAATACCCCGCCACCATCTCCCCAATGGGGACTCRGGGCGGCTTACATGAGGCCAWGCCCAATAGCATATTACAATAAAGTAAAACCAAAACACAGTAACAACACAGTAAAATACATACAACATATGAGTGTAAAGATGATAAAGCAAAATCATACACAGTAAAATAAAATAACATAACAATGAGCAGACTGCWTGTGCAAGATAAAAACTAAGATACTAAAAATACTAAAATMAGGATGAGATAGRGATGGAGTAAATTGTTTGCGGGGGAGAAACACGTAAAGGAACAGAGTCATAAATATAGACCTTAAGAACTCTTGTTTGTTTACGTCAAGTATATAGTATACAGATATATAAACCCCACTTGGCTAGTTTCCAACAAACCTTACAACCTCTGAGGATGCCTGCCATAGATGTGGGTGAAACGTCAGGAGAGAATGCTTCTGGAACATGGCCATACAGCCCAGAAAGCTCACAGCGATCTAGCATTTGAAGGGTCACGAGCTATTAGCTCTGTGCTCCATGTGTTCATGGGATGACTTTTGGGAAATGTTACAAATGAACTCTGTCCCTGAATCCCAGGCATGGAAAGCAAAGCATAGACAACATTGTGAATGCGTGCCCCAGTCTCACTTCAGAGGTTTCCCTGGGGTGGCTTTGTCATTTCATGACTGGGGGCAAGTTTAACTCAAGGCTTGCAAACCCCATTACAGACACTTTAGAGAAAGTTAAGCAGAACATGGTAGCAGAATTATGGATTGTGCCAATCTGGACTACAAGCGGAACTGCATTTTTAAGATCTTCGCCATTTAAAAAAATCCCTTGTTTGTATAAAGGCAGTTAAATATATCAAGAAGAGATCTGTGCAGTACCTTTCGCCCCACCTTTATAGTTTTCTAAATTCAGTCTTTTTAATTTGGTTGTATGGGAGGATTCCACCTGCAGTCCAAAGTGGTATTGCCCATAAAGTCTGCCAACTCAGTCTGCTACTTTATTCTGTGTAATTGGTACATAGATTTCATAGCCATTGCACTATACCAGTCTATACAGAATAAATGCAGCAATTATTTATTGGCTTCCTCTCACAGGTGGGCTCAACTATCATGCCGCTTTCCCCAGAGGGGCTCTTCCCAGCTGTGGGGATGCACTCGCTGGGGGAAGAGGTCCGGCTCTATCTCCATGCAGAGCTTGGCAACGAGGAGGAAGATGACAGCGTCATGATGGTCGACAGCTATGAGGACGAGTGGGGCCGACTGCATGATGTAAAAGTCTGCGGCACAGTGAGTGAGCATCACCTGGGAGGGGTGGAACATGCCAGACGACTCTGGTCGAGCACTTGTGCTTTGGGGAAGCCCTTCTCCTGATATAGGGACTCAAGGCATATATATGTATGTAAATTTGTTGATGAAGGCTTTCATGGCTGGAATCACTGAGTTGCTGTGAGTTTTCTGGGCTGTATGGCCATGTTCCAGATGCATTCTCTCTGTAAATGTGTTAAAATATTTTGTCTGCACTCCAATCATCCCTAGTCAGCATAGACAATGTGAGGGATGTGCTATCCTACCATATCGGGAGGACGCTGTATTTCCCATCCCTGTCCTATGGGAAAGCAGATAACCTCTGCAGTCTTGGGATATAGAGCAGGGGTCCTCAAACCTTTTAAACAAAGGGCCAGGTCACAGTCCCTCAAACTGTTGGAGGCCGGATTATAATTTGAAAACAAAAACATGAATAAATTCCTATGCATACTGCACATATCTTATTTGTAGTGCAAAAACTTTAAAACAATACAATAATTAAAACAAATATAAACTTATTAGTATTTCAATGGGAAGTGTAGGCCTGCTTTTGGATGATGAGATCGGATTATTGTTGTTGTTGTTGTTCTTGTTGTTGTGTGCTTTCAAGTCATTTCAGACTTAAGTTGACTCTGAGTGAGGGTTGGGTAAATGACCTTGGAGGGCCGTATGTGGCCCCTGGGCCGAAGTTTGAGTACCGCTGCCCTAGAGTGTGTAGCACTCATGTCTTTCTCTTTGCTGGACCATGAGTTGTAACCTGGGTGTATTTCTGCTTTTTGTTTTAAATATGTTATTATGTGGGTGTATACCTGAATATGTGCCCATCCTATTATTTTTAAAGTTCTTGTTGTTCAAAACATGATATTTGTTTATCGTGTCAGAAGCGAATTGGTACAGTTGCAATGTATTTAAAAACACAAAGTTAAAAAACTTGGCATTATGCTAAACGTCCTTTGACCAGTAGCTGGTAACTTGGAGTGCCTCTGGTGCTGCTATAAGAAGGTCCTCCATTGTGCATGTGGCTGGTCTCAGACTGCATTATAGAAAGTGGTCTGTGTTTGCTCTTCTGCACACTCATATGTTGCGGACTCCACTTTGTAGCCTCATATCTTAAGGTTGGCCCTGCATCTCATGGTGCCAGAGTACAATCTGTTCAGTGCCTTCCAAGTCGCCCAGTCTTCTGAGTGCCCAGGAGGAAGTCTCTCATTCAGTATCAGCTAGGGCAGGGCCGGCCCGTCCATTACTCGAAGTAAGCGGTCGCGGAATACTTTTTTTGCCAGGGGGCGCTGTTCTGTCCTTAGGCCACGCCTCCTCCTGCAGGCCCCATGCGCCCTCAACAGCCTTCTAATGGAGAAGCGCAGGCCCCGCCCACTAGGCGAGAGGGAAGTCCTCCCTCCACGTGCTGCCAGGAGGCAGCCAGCCAGGCTCTTTCGCTTTCCCTTTCCTTCCCTGCAGCTGAGCCTGGACCCCTCTCAGGGCAGCAAGGAGGCCTGGTCAAAAGGTACTGCAAATGTCATCTTTTGTACATGCCTCCCCCAAACCCCTCTAGTATTTGGTAATGGAAGTCCTATATGCCAAGCTTGGTTCAATTCTATTGTTGGTGGAGCTCAGAATGTTCTTTGGTGCTTGGTAAACTGCAATTCCCAAATGTCAGGGTCTATTTTTCCCAACCCCCTCTCCAGTATTTTCTGTTAGTCATGGAAGTCCTGTATGCCAAGTTTGGTTCAGTTCTATTATTGGTGGAGTTCAGAATGCTCTTTGGTGTTTGGTGAAGCATTCTCACCTGATGTTTCACCCACATCTATGGCAGGCATCCTCAAGAGGCTGTGAGGTCTGTTTGTAACTAGGCAAGTGGGGTTTGTATATCTGTGGAATGTCCAGGGTGGGAAAAAGAACTCATGTCTGCTTGAGGTAAGTGTGAATGTTGCAATTGGTCATCTTGATGAGTATTTAATGGCCTTGCAGCTTCGAAGCCGAGCTAGTTGCTGCCCAGGAATCCTTTGTTGGGAGCGGTTAACTGGCCCTGATTGCTTCATGTCAGGAATTCCCCCCCTTTTTTAGTGTTGCTCTTTATTTATTGTTCTGATTTTAGAGGGTTATTTCAGAGGGTACTGGTAGCCAGATTTTGTTCCTCTGAGGTTGCCTGCCATAGATGTGGGGAAAATGTCAGGAGAGAATGCTTCTGGAACATGGCCATACAGCCCAGAAAACTCACAGCAACTCAGTGATTCTGGCCATGAAAGCCTTCCACAACACATTATTATGTTTATTTATACCCTGCTTTTTCTCTCCCCAAGAAGACTCAAGTTGGCTTAGATTAAAAACATTTCAGTACAGTTTAAAATCCACAAATATGCAAACATTAAAATGGAATTAAATATCATTGGTATTTTAAAAATTCAGTTAAAATCCATAAAAAACATATCCAAAACTAAAAACTGCAGCAGACCCTGACTTGATCTTTAAAACCTTTTAAAGCCTGCATTAGATTACCAAATGTAATGTCCCTTTATACACACTGCTTTATATTAATTTCCCCAGTATTCCTTTATCTGATTTGTCATCAACACACTTAATGGACTGCAAAAATATGATCCTGTGTGATTCCTTTCCATTGCTGGCCGAATAGTTTAAATTTGGATAATATTTTGACTTTGATATTTTAGCAATTACATTTTGCAGCAGTGTCTTTTGGGGTGCTAACTCTTGTCCTTCCACTTATCCTTCCATCAGTTCCAGGGCTCAATCCCAACTGCTGTTGGACGAGACACTATGGAGCTCTATATTTATATTTCCACAGTACAAAGTGGCAAAATCAAAGACTGCTTTGGGATTTTTTTTTAAAAAAAATGTTTTCAAACCATGGATGGTTGAAGCAGTGGTTGCAGAACACCAACTGTGTAACACTGTCACTGTACGAGTAAAGCAACAACAAAATGCTCCCCTGCCCTTAGGTGTATAATTTAATTAAAACATGACACAAAGGCAAAGGGATGCCAGTGTGGGAAGGGATGAAGGGCCTGTCCAGACAGGCCCTATATCCCAGGATGTGATTGCAGGGTTTCTGTTTATCCTGGATTATCTGGCAGAGTGGACTCATATGATCCAGTTTAAAGCTGAAAACCTGGGATTTATTTATTTATTTGTCATGTCAGAACAACCAGTCAAATTATGTTACATTTCTAACAGAACAAAGCAAAACAAGCAGATTACAAAATTTGTGAGTATGGTAGTTGATTAAATGTCCTTTGATCAGTATCTGGCCACTTGGAGTGCTTCTGGTGTTGCCGCAAGAAGGTCCTCCCTTGTGCATGTGGCAGGGCTCAGGGTTCATTGCAGCAGGTGGTCAGTGGTTTGCTCCTCTCCACACTCGCACGTCGAGGATTCCACTTTGTGGCCCCATTTCTGAAGGTTGGCTCTGCATCTCGTGGTGTCCGAGCGCAGTCTGTTCAGCGCCTTCCAAGTCGCCCAGTCCTCTGTGTGCCCAGGGGGGAGTCTCTCATCTGGTATCAGCCATGGGCTGAGGTGCTGGGTTTGAGGCTGCCACTTTTGGACTCTCGCTTGCTGAGGTGTTCCAGCGAGTGTCTCTGTAGATCTTAGAAAACTATTTCTAGATTTAAGTCGTTGACGTGCTGGCTGATACCCAAACAGGGGATGAGCTGGAGATGTCTCTGCCTTGGTCCTTTCACTATTGGCCGCCACTTCCCGGCGGATGTCAGGTGGCGCAATACCGGCTAGGCAGTATAATTTTTCCAGTGGTGTAGGGCGTAAACACCCTGTGATAATGCGGCATAGGGCCTGTCTGGAAGGGCTCCATGGCTTCACATGCCACCTGTTTCTCCAAGGCCAAAGCAGTGGCAGTTGGATGGAAGGAGGGCTCTTTATCTGCTTCTGGGTCAAGCACATGCAAGAGCAAACTTCAGCCCTCCAGGTGTTTCGGACTTCAACTCCCACAATACCTAACAGCCGGTCTAGCAGTTTGTAATGTAATACAGGTTGAGTATCCCTGATCCAAAGTGCTTTGAACTAGAAGTGTGTAAATCACTTTGAGTCCTCCTGAGGGTGAGAAAAGCGGTATACAAATACTGTAAATAAATAAATAAAATGTTTGGGATCATGGGATAGCTGTTTACATACACAATGACACATTTCAAAGATAGCACCCAAGATGAAACACAAAAGAGGCATGCACGAGGCCTCTTTTCCCACGTGCCCAGCAATGCCGCTGCGCATCCCTCTCTCGGCATTAGGAAATGTGCGCCCTGCATCGCCCTCCTTCTCCATGCACTTCCTAACGCTGGGAGAAGGATGCACACTGGCGTTGTTGTCTCCCTTGGCCTGCAAGGAGGAGGAGGAGAGGAGGACAACGTGCGCACTTGTGAGGGAAGGATGGAGGGAGAGCATGCTCCCTGCATGAGGGCTCTTTTTCCGTGCGCCTGGTAATGCCGGCGCGTGTCCCTCTCCCGGAGTTGCAAAGCGTGTGGGGGAAGAGAATGCAAAGCGCATACCCAGGAGCCGATGGAGCACAGGGCCTCTTCTCCTGTGTGAAGAGGGGCAGCATTGCAAGTGCCTCTCCAGGCAGCTGTGCCATCACCCCTCTCAGGGCGGCAAGGAGGTTTCTTCATGAACGGAAGTGACTGAAGGTACTGCAAATCTAAATTATTGTACATGTTTCCCCAAAACCCCTCCAGTATCAGAGTCTATTTTCCCCAAATCCCTTCAGTATTTTGTGTTGGAACTACATCAACACTGACAAAGAAACAACAAGAAATATGTTTACCCACAGCAGAAATTACATATATTAGAAACCAACACTTTCTTATTACTTTCTTTTCAAGATCACTAGACTGGATCACAGCAACGCGTGGCAGGGGATGGCTAGTGTGTGTGTGTGTGTATGTATGGCTGGCATGGGCCAACTTCAGCCCTCCATGTGTTTTGGACTTCAATTCCCACAATTCCAAACAGCCAGTAGGAAGTCC